TGTATTTCTCATCGTTGTTACACTGCACCCTGACTGGCTCGTCTCCTCCCCGGGTAGTCAGTGTTTTTTTAACCGTTTTATGGACGCTTCATCCACACGCCATACAATTCAGAAGTTCTCTTGCATAGAAAGAGTTGTACAATCATCACCACAGTCAACGTTGGCACGTTCCCTTCTCCCTGGTGCTCCTTGCTGTTGGTGTAATTACTTGTCTCAACTGTGGCAGAACTAGACCCCACAGAACATCCTCCGCCCAGCGACTTCTACGTGCGCCGTCCAGCGCTGCCGATGAGCCTCTTTGTGGGGTGCAGCCATTAGGGATACCCTGCTCCAAGTGGTCCCAGCCCACTTCGCATGAGCTCAGGGCCCCACAGTAACTATGGGTCAAGTTAGGGTTTCTTTCTTTTTCTTCTTCAAAGTGATTTTCCTGATAGAATATTCACGTGGCATACACTTCGATAGTGAAATCGCTTGTTAAGGAAGTTGTACAATATAAGCCGACCTGAATATCAGCCGAGGCACCTAATTTTACCACAAAAACTGCATTAAAAATGTGCTGAAAAACTCAGCTTATCTGTGGGGTTAAGGGGAGAGGGGTCCCCCACAAGTCATCGCAGGTCCTGTAGGCGCAATTGTACAGCGATAATAAGAAAAGATGATAGTAAAGTCATTGAGAGCGTGAGAGATAGAGGAGAGACTGGAGTAATGGAATCAGACACAATTCATGCTCGCACGCTCACCTCAGCCCCGCTTGGTGGTCCTTATCGGGGGAGCCCAGCCACGAGAGCCGGGGAGAGCCTCGGGAGCGAGAGCAGGAGAGCCCCCACATTATTGCTAACCAAGGGTTATATCTCATTAGGGGGACATGATTACAGGTAACCACACGTCACAGGAAGGGGCAGTACAATAGGCACACACATCGTAGGAAGGGGATGTATGACAGGCATAAGCGTAACAGGAAGGGATAAGCTAGGGGTGTGCCCACAGGAATGGGAAGGTCTAGGGGTATACATGTGACAAGATGGGCGGACCCTAGATTCATGATGGCAGCCTAACCTTGGTCATCCTTGGGCGGGTTTGACCTCTCTGGGGTCTCCTACAAGGAAACAGACAACTACTATCCTCATCAGAAGGGAGTGGGCCCTACTTGTTGTGGGGTAAACAGTGGTGTCTGCTTGGTCTAGACAGCTGATAACTCTCAGGGAGAATGACCCCCAATCCACTCCTGATGACCTCCAAGTGTACAGTCATTCTCAAGCAGCTAAGTCTGGCATATATTTGGGGGAGACAGCTTGAGAGAAATCCTTCTGTTTCCCATACTTACCCACGAGTATACATGGTACATACGTTCTCACAATCATTTCTAATGCTCCCGACCCACCTCCCCCATTCATTGATTGCTCCCCAATTTCCCTCACCCTGCACCCCCCCAAGTGAGTCGATCTTATAAATACTTAATGACACCATTATTATAAGGGGGGAAAAGAAAATGAAAAGTGATGTTTACACCAAAAGACCAGACTTTGAGGATGAGGAGGAGGCCAGGGGTGGGGACAGGAAGATGGGAAACTGTAGTGGGAGGGAGGGAAGAGGCCCACTTCTGGGGAGAGGGCATAAGGACTGATGTCATCTGTTGAGATGGGCTGAGAGAGAGATGGGGTGGGGAGAAGGTTCACAGCCTTAAGACCCCTCCAGATGCCTTCGGATCTGAACGTTGGTCTGAGCGGCTTCAAAAAAGGAGGAACTTCAGTAACATTGAAGTGGACTTGGAATCTTTAGTGACGTTCAAGTTCATTTCAAACACCTGAAAGTTAATAATAATAATAATAATAAAACCCCTGCTGACCATTTGGCGTTTTTTTTTTTCAAAGGCTGCAGTGCCCAACCAAACTCCCTGCCATCGAGTGGACTGTGACTCAGTTTCTGAGACTGTAGCAAGTCTTTCTCCCCATGGAGCGAGCTGCTGGTGGTTTCGAACTGCTGACCTTGTGGTTAGCAGCCCAGCAGCGAACCCACCAGGGTCCTTAGCAACCCACAGGAGAGACAGTCCCCCCCCTGGGTGCTAAAATGGCGCCGAGGGACCCATGGACAGGCAAGAGGAAGCAAACAGGATGAGGCAGCCAAGTCAGTCCCCGGTGCTAAGTGCTGGACCAAGGAGCTCTGGTGGCAGTTCAAGCCCACCAGCTGCTCCGAGGGAGAAAGACGAGGCTACTCCTGTCAAGATGTACAGTCTCTGAAGCCCTGCCAAGCAGTTCTAGTCTGTCCTGTAGGGTCCCCATGAGCAGGAATCGGCTTGATGGCGGTGGTGAAACCCGCGGGGGCAGTTCTACTCTGTCCTGTAGGGCGCCGGGAGTCAGCATCGACTCGGTGGCCGTGGAAACCGTTGCATCAACTCCAAAGACAGAGCAGAGCTGCCCCTTTGGGTTTCCGGGGCTGTAATCTTCACAGGAGCAGACAGCCTCGTCGTTCATCCTTGGAGCGCCTGGTGGTTTTGAACTGATGACCTTGCAGTTAGTCCCCCAAGACATCACCCACTGTGCTGCCAGGGCTCCTCAGAGAAACAGCAGGAGATAATAATAAAACCCACAACCAAGCCCACTGCCCTCCAGGGGTTTCTGAGACTGTAAATCCGTATGGGAGCAGGCAGCCTCTTCTTTCTTCCAAGGAGTGGCCGGTGGGTTCGAACCGCCAACCTTGGAGTCAGCAGCCCAGCTTGTAACCCACTGCACCACCAGGGCAGAGGAAAAGAAGCACTAGACGGTGCTCGGCTACCACAAGTGACCACTCACTCCGGGCCACAGAAGGCGGATCTTGGTAGAATGGAAGGAAGATGTGGAACAGAACCTCAGATTCCCAAAAATAATAGAAACAGCAACAGGCCAGCTGCACCAGGTGAGCTGGAGCACCCCGCCACCACCATCCTGAGATCGTCTCCAAACCTTGGACTGAAACTAACCCCGGGGTCATCTTGTAGCTCAGTAACAGACTGGTTCAAAAAGTAATGGCCGGCACACCTCAGAGCACGTGAATGATGGTGCTGGAGGAGATGACGGAAAGTCCGGTGGGCAGCCAGGAGAGCAGACACCTCTGTCTTGGAAGTAGTACAGCCCGAGTGCTCCTTAGAGGCAGAGATGGAGAGACTGCATCGCACATACTTTGGGCATGTCTTCAGGAGCGGCCACCAGTCGCTGGACACAGACGTCATGCTTGGCAAAGCAGAGGTCAGGGACGAAGGAGGAGACCCTTCGGGAGACAGACTGACCCGCGGCAGAGGCTCCGACATGAGAACAATTGTGAGGCTGGTGCCGGACGGGCAGGGTTCTGTTCTGTGGAACACGGAGTTGCGATGAGTCAGAACGGACATGTGCCGCCTTCCTTTGAAACATCACCTCGAGGAGACCAGGCAGGAGACGGGGATGTCTGAAAACCAAGGTGTTCATGTGAGGGGGCAGGGAGCTGGATGAGTGGAGGCAGCAATTAGAACAGGAATAATGGTGTTCACACATTGTGCAAGATATAGTCAATGTCATGCTTTAGATTGGCGTGTTAGTCTGGGTGGACTAGAGAAACACATTCAGAGACACGCCTGTGTGTGTAATAGAGGACTTTATATCAAAGAGTAATTGTATATTAGGAAAACATCCCAGCCCAGCCCAGGTCAAGCCCATAACTCCAGTATTAGCCCATGTGTCTGCTCCCAGTCTGTAAGTTCCTCTGTGGACTCACACAACACATGCAATGACCTCGCGTGCAGGAAGATCACTGGCCAGTAGGTGGAAAGTTTTATGGATCCAGTGGTAGTGGAAGCATCTCCCTGCTGGCGCAGGTCTCCACGTGGCTCCTCCAGCTGCAGGGCTCTGGCTCCATCAGCATTTCTCTCCATGTGGCTTGTCAGCAGGAATGTGTAGCAAAGAGAGTGTGTCTGGTCTCCAGTGAGCCATTTATCTACCCCGCACCTCCTAATGAGGTCATCAAGCTGAGAGCTGATTGACAGGCTAGACTCTACCCCTTTGCAAGTTGAGGAGGTTATGTAACTGTCGGGGTCTCTAGATAAACCAAATCAGTAACGTGTGTGTGTGTGTGTGTGTGTGTGTGTGTGTGTGTGTGTGTAGGCTCAAGGAAAGGACTCACCGTTGCAGAGCTGGGCAAGTTCCAAGTTGTCCATGGGTCAGACATCAGGCGGGAGGCTTCGTCTGGCTCGTGTGCTTCATGCATCCGATTAGCAAGTCCGACACCAGGCTTCTGGCTCCAGGAGAGCATGAATCTGAGGTGGACAGGCTGCTGGCTCAAGTGCAAAGACACACAGGTGGACGAGCCAAGTGCAAAGACACACAGGTGGACGAGCCAGAGGCAGGATCCAGACCAGCAGCGAGCAAGCAAGCTTTTCCACTAGGCCCACTTACTTCTGCTGGAAGCAGGCCACACACGCCCCTCGGCTGGTTGGCTGCTCACAGCAGCTCCCATTGTGGAGATGGTTACATTCCATCAAAGCTCGTCATGGGGCATGACTGTGCCCTCGCTGCCGAACCCCTGGGCATCCTGGCTCGGCCAGGTTGAAACACACCACCTTCATGATCACTGTCACTGAACAATGTCCTTGGAAACTGCTGGATGGAGACCCTCGGCGGCCGTGTGAATCTTCACCCCAGACAATAAAATGCCATCTTTCAAAAGGGAGAGGAACCCCCAAAAAACAAAACTCACTGCCACGGAGTGGCGGCTGACTCATAGCGACCCCACAGTGGGTGTCCGACACTGTGACTGCTCACAGGACCCCTCTTTCTCCCACGGAGCCGCTGGTGGTTCACCTGGCTACTGAAGGGACAAGCACGCAAGGCGGAAGGAACAGTGTGTGTAAAGACCCTGCCGGCCGGCAGGCATGCGTGGTGAGCGAGAGGAATATCCAGGTGGGACCCGAGGGGGAGAGAGGGGCCGAGGTCAGGCTGCTGAGAGGTGGGCGTTGACACAGAGGCAGTGAGTCGGGGCGATGTGATTAAAAGTTCTGAACAGCCAGAGTGAAATCCACAACCAGATGCTAGCAGAGAAAGGAGAGCCTTCCCACCATGCTTCCCTCCTAACCCGCGGGGTCAGGTTCAC